GGGAGAGCAGATTCCTTAGCATTTTAATTTCAGACTATCTGACCCAGAAATACCAGATCCTCACTGATGGGCATGTTTCTCTCTAGAGGACAAGAGAACTCTCAAACACTATTCATTAAGCTATTATAATTTACATTCTTATTCATCATTTTTTCTGGATGGTATACTGGCTGGGCTAAAAATTGAGAATCTATCTAATAGGGAAATGAAATTCCTCGAACTATACGTGAATGAAAGCTGATACAAGCAATGGATTTGACACACCTTTGAAGTGGTCTGGAAGCATTGGAATATCAGAGCCAGGAGTGATGAGAAAGAGAAAAATAAAATAAAACCAACTACTCTTTAACTTTAGCACTCTTTTTTTTTAAACTCCTAAATGCAAACAGGTTCTGTGTGTGTTTCACTTAGAACACCTGGATTGCAGCTAGTGAGAATGAAACTTTTGTGGGGTATGCTTCCATACCCAAAAAGTCAGCAACATTCCTAAGTGGATTCTAGACACAAAAATCTTCCATAAGTGGATGATGGAAAAAGACTGACCTGAATAACAAAAGCCCTGTGTAGCCCAGCTGGAAGATCTCAGCCAAGACCTCAGTTGAGTGGGCTGGATTGCCTTCTGAGAAAGGCAGAGCTTCTCCAACTAAGCCAAGCAAATTGATATCTTTTTAATACTAACTTTCTCACAGTATTGCTATATGGCAGAGACACATTGAAGGTTACCCTCTCCAAAGAATATAAAATGAGTATGACACAAAGGGCAATGGAAAGGAACATGAAAGCAAAATATTAGGATCTCAATTTTATAAATTAATGTATAAGACTTGGCTAAATTTTAGTAAGCTTTTAACATTTAGCGATTTATATCTGTGTTGTATGTTACTAGTTGGGAATTGAAAGCCATCATGTAAACTCTAGCATATACATAAAGTATCAGAAGACACTAATATTTTGTGTATAAGATTACTTTTGTGTGAATCTTATAAGTTGAAATATCTTTCTCCAATCGTGAAAACTCTTGAAGCTGTATGATAACAATTATGATTTAACATCTGCAAGTGTAATTCTGGTGTTTTCTCTTTCTATTTGATAAACAACCTGTTCTTAAATTGTAACTTAAGATAAAACTTTCAGTGTCAGGTAGTTTCTAGGACTTCTCATAAAGATTTACCCAAGAATACAAGACACACACTACTTGTGTCAAACTGGCACACGTGATAGAGAAGGCTTTACAAAACAGTTGCCATTTGACAATACCATTTGAATGTTAGTTTTAAGATGATGATTACTTCCTAGCCTGAAGTCTGGAAGTGCTATTCATCCTTCATTCTGACTTCTTATTGCTCTGGGATTGTAGACCTTTTGTTTCTGTAAATGAATCAATGAGTCTTGTTTTTGTCTTGTCTAGCTCTGTAAAGAATTCCTTTTGCAATTTGATTGATGAAGGACTAAAAATCTCTAAATTAGTGTGACATCATGATTTCTTAAAATTGAACTGGCACTGCCCAATCATAATCACTGGATATATCTCTCCAAATTAAGTTGTTCTTTATTTCTTTGAAGAATGTTTTGTAATTGTATCTATATGTCTTGTGTGAGTCTTGGTAGCTTGACTCAAATATTTAAATACTTTGCAGTTAATTCGAAAAAGATTTCCTTCCTTTTTTGAGTGTTCTACTCTTCATTTTGTTTTGTTTTTTTCCTATAGAAGTATAGTTGTTGTTGTTGTTGTTTTTGTAGTTTATGGAAGTGTTGCAGTCTGAGAGGTTGAGACCCCTCAAAGACCGGAGTACAGGACGGGATCATCTGGAATGAATTCACAGACTTAAGCATTGTTTAAGTCAAGTAGGCAGAAAGTTTATTGTTAATTTTTCAGCAGGCAAGGATTCTTAAGGAACCTGCAAGAAACTGAAGATGGAAATATGGAAAAGGGCATGGGAAAGGAATGCCAGGGATACCGATTAGGTAATCTAAAGGTCCAGGTGTCTTTGGGAGCTATGGATGGGAAAGTATAGGGAGTATACTGGACAGGGAAGGAGATGTCAGAGGCATGGATCTTGGGAATCTCGCAGGAGGAAAAGTCCTTGGGCCAGCCAAGGACAAAACTCCTTGGGCCAGACAAGACACCCCTCTCTCTCTGTCCTGATTAGAGAATGCTCTGCAACAAGGGAAAGCTTTCTCACAAGACAGGAGCTCACTAAGGAATTGGGAGGCTTCCAGAGACATTATCTGAGGGCTGGGGCCTGAGCAGCCCAGCACTCTCTCACCCAGCTTTGTGTAGCCGCACCACGAAGAGAGATAAGGGTCTTACTGGGGTCCGCACATGAGTAATTGCTAGGCACAGTGTCCTTGGGCTGGAGAGAAATTGTCAGAGCTAGTGTTTCTGAGACTAGGGAGAAAGAAATTGGGGTCCAAGTACAAGCACAAGCACCCAAGCACCCCATCAGAAGCTTCTAGAAAACACGAATCATTTTCCATTTTTGTTTTTGTCTTTGCATACTCAGCGCCTTACACAAAGCAGATGTTTAACAAATGCTTGCTGATTCTTTGATCCTGATGCTCTGTTGAGGACTATACACCAAAGTATTTATATCAACACTTTCTGTAGTAGCACAGAACTTGAAATGAGGTAGGTGTTCAGCAAGTGGGAAAGGGCTAAACAAATTATGTTACGTGAATGTAATACAGATAATTAATATGAAGAATTCAGAGAAGTTTGCGAAGTGAAATGATGAAGAATGAAAGGAGAACAATGTATGTAACCATAATTTAAATGGAACAATCCATGAAAGTGTAATTAATGAATTAGACTGTCCATAGGGAAAGGATCAAAAGATGTATTTTCCTCTCTTTTGCAGAGGTAGAAATTATTGGTGTGGAATGTTATTCACACTATAAGATTTTATAACATGTTTAGTTTTGCTGAGCTGCTGTTTTCCTTTTTAAAAAATTCTTTATTAAAAATGGCTTTTGAGATGTATGTTCAGGAATGAAAATAATAAAAAAAAAACAAAATACATCAATGAAATGAAAGCTGCATTACCAAGTGGAGGAGGGATAAGACTGGTTCTACCCACATGGGGAGGCAACAAATAAGAGACAGCTTGGCTTAGTGTATAGCAAGAGCTTGTCCTTGAAGCCAGAAAAACATAGGGTCTGTTCTATCCCTTGCTTGACATACAAAAGTTGCATGACTCTAGGTAAGTTTTGGAATTTTTATTCTTTGTGACCCTCTTTTGAGGTTTTCTTGGCAAAGATACTGGAGTGGTTTGGATTTTCCTTCTCCAGCTCTTTTTTACAGATGAGGTAACTGACCCAAATAGGGTTAAATGACTTGCCCAGGGTCACATATAGCTAAGTAAGTATCTGAGCCCAATTTTGAACTCCAGATGAGTCTTCCTGACTCTAGGGCTGGCATTCTATCCACTGCACCCTAATTGTCTCTCCTAACCATTAGAACTATCCCAAGGGGAGTGGGATACTTACAGGGTTCAAGCAAAGGCATCATATTTTAAGAGATTCTTTATCTGGAGGTGGGTGGGATATGAGTTTAACTAGATGCCCCTGAGGTCTTGGCTCTAAAATGCCATGACCTTCATTATTTTTACTTCTGTCAAGCTTAATACATACCCCCATTACTAATTGCCAGGGTATATGTCATCAATTTTGTAACAGGTTTTTACACTTTTACTCTCGACCTCCTTCACACTTCTATCAAAATATTTCTTAGCCAGAAATCTGGTCATGTCACTAATACTCAAAAACGTGCAAACTTGCTTATGGAGAAAACTTTCCAATCCTTTGCCTGACATTCTCCACAATTTGGTGCTAGCCTGCACTTCCAACCACATTTCAAAAACTTCCAAGCAGTCCAGATACAGATATCTCAAAAGTGCTTACATTATTTTTGGGACACTCTGAATAATTTAATGCTATTGACCTTTCATTTGTATACAGCCTGTACTTTGATTTATGCCCTTGCTGTTCCCTATACCTGGAATAAACGAGTGGCCTACAGCTCTGAATTCAGAGAACCTGGGTTCTAATTTATGTGACCCTGGGAAAGTCACCTTATGTCACTGGGCCTTAGTTTCCCCATCTATAAAGGGGTTGGAATTAGACAATACCAAAGATCTCTTTAAATTTTAAAATTGTAACTATAAAGAATAGCTATATAGGCATCTGCAGTGTCCTATCTGCCAATATAATAACACTATCAAAGCCTAGGCTACTACCATAATTTCTCAATTTTACCTTCTCCAAATTAAACATACCTAAGCTGGAGCCTGTGATAGAAAGTATAAGGAGCAATTAAGCGGAGTACTATTTTAACCAGTATTTTTTTTCTAGCTTGTGTCCATAACAGTGATTGGTTAAAGCTGGGGAGTCGTCGGAGAATCCAGGATCTAAAAAAATGACTCCTACCATCTATCTTAAAAATCTAGTTGGGACTGATAAAATACCACGACCTGATCTTTCAGGAATGAGCTTCTCGCCGTTGTTTCAGGATATTACAGCACAGTGAAATCCAAGTACCCCGTTGGCTTAATTCTCAGCACCATAAAATTTTGAGCTAAAAATGGAGCTTGATACAGTAATCAGCTCTTCATAGCTGAAACAGTCTCTGGGGGAATGACATTACAAATAGGCTAGTATTTAAATTTTCTTCAATGTCTGCTGATATATTTCCCGAAAGGCTGCCAATCTGAGATTATTCTCTGCTACCAAATGCAAACAACCCTTTCATGGTTAAGCATAGTGACTAACAAAGAATGAATCCTTGGTTACATAGTCAGAAAGTGGATTAATAATGCACTGCTACTCCACCTCCTTTGTTCTCTCAGTCTGCCACCCCTAGGAATTATAAACGCTACAGTTAGGCTAAGCCCAGGAAAACCTTTTAATTCCGCAGATCGATCTCAGCTCTCTTGATGAAAAAAATGAGGGGCCCTGAAAAGGGCCTTTTAAGTTTGTTTTGCGAGTTGCCAAATCAATTTAGCCGCCGAAGCCGTAGAGGGTCCGGCCCTGGCGCTTGAGCGCGTAGACCACGTCCATGGCAGTGACCGTCTTCCTCTTGGCGTGCTCGGTGTAGGTGACGGCGTCCCGGATCACGTTCTCCAGGAACACCTTCAGCACGCCGCGGGTCTCCTCGTAGATGAGCCCCGAGATACGCTTGACGCCGCCGCGCCGGGCCAGACGACGGATGGCGGGCTTGGTGATGCCCTGGATGTTATCGCGGAGCACCTTCCTGTGCCGCTTGGCACCCCCTTTGCCCAGACCCTTACCGCCTTTGCCGCGACCAGACATGATGGCTAACAACTACACGCAGCACTGAAGCTTCTGAGCTTCCCGTTGGCGGCGGGCCCTTATATAGCCGAGGGTCCGACCTGTTTGGAAACTGAAAGCGCGCGGGCGGGAAACTTGATTATTACGTCATCTTCCGCCCTCCCACCGTCCCCGTCCCCAAGCCATTTCACTTGGTCCTAACAGCTACCGGACAGATAATTCAAAACCTCAAGCTCCGCCCTCTCTTAGAGTGCATTTCCTTCTGATTGGAAGAAATCTTTTTCCGATTCCTTCTTCTTTGTCTCCGATGTGTTTTTGAAATTTGTTTTCTAGTAAAATTCCACAAGAAAATTCTGTAAATAAAGCCCTTTGAGGTGCAATGATTTGCGCACAATTATAGAGCTGGTTAACGGCATAATACGAATTTAACTGGATTAGGAATGTCGCCTTTGTTCTACAGCACCACGCTATTATCTTCCTACCCAAAGCAAAGACCTGGGGCTGACCGAGGCGTCCCAGTTCACCAAGAAATCTAGGAAAAATGGCTTAGATGGCTCTTTTTGGTGTTTGATGGTGGTTCAGTGACAGGATTCTTATCTGCTTAAGAAAGAGTTTGAGCTCAATTCCAAGCTAATGGCATTTAGAGAAAGAGAAAAGGAGGGAGAGAGAAACAGAGAGAGGACAGAGAGACGGAGAGACAGAGAGAGACACAGAGACAGAGACACACAGAGAAAGGGACAGAGAGAGACACAGAAACACATACATACATACATATATATATATATATATATATATATATGCATAATGCTTAATCTGTGTATATTGTTTTCATTTAAAATCTCAGATTCTGAATGTAAAACTCATTTTGTGATGCCATATGGAAAAGGAGACAATTCTTTATTGTCTTTTTTTCTGTTTAAATTTCTCCTTTCGGAAATCTTTACATTCCCTCTCATTTTCCGTCCCACATGCGCTATTTCTGTCGTGCCAGTGACATTGCTGCGCACTCAAATAGTCAGGGAAAAGAGACTGATGAATCGATCTTTTAGTGAAGAGAACAAAAGAGGGAGGAACCGGTGAAAATGTAGATGTCATCTCAGAGTGGAGTCAAGGGTCTCCAATCTTCGTAGCAGGTGGCGCAGCGGGAGCGTGCTGGGCCCATAACCCCAAGGTCGATGGATCAAAACCATCCTCTGCTACAAGTCCTTTCTTTTTCCCATTTTAAAAAATCTGAAATTAATTACATTTCACCATATTTTTAGAAGGCCTCTTAACAGGGAAAAGGAATTTTTAAAAGTATATAAAACGAATAGAATTACCTAGTAAATATTACAATATGGACACAGCTAGAAGGATACCTAGAGGTACCTCCCCCTTATTTTACAAAAGAGGAAGGTGAAGTCCCTTGTGCATTGTAGAAAGGTCAGTGTTGTGAAGACCATTGCCAGGGAAAGAAGCAGTAATGAGGGCAGAGATGGAAACTCTTGTTCCCCTGGGATTGAGGATAGGGAAGAAGCTGGTAGCAACTTCCTATTTTAACTCATTACAGTCTTAGTAGGTATAAAACTCACTTGTTTCCATGATGTTGAAGGGTTTAAAATGCTGTCAGTACCTCCCTTTAAATTTTGTTACCCTGAGACAAAATCTTGGTTTCACTCCTTTATGCACGACTCAATTGGTAAATCTGAGTTGGGCCCAGTTGCTGGTAACTGAAAAAAGGGAATTTTTTGAAACCAGATTATATTTCTGCTTGTGGGGCATTGCAAATTTATCTAAATAATTTGATGGAAAACCTTAGGCAGCAAAACCTGCAATTCCATTTCTGGACCTAGGCTGCAGGGTTTCAAAGAATGGTTTAAACAAACCCCGGATTTTGACAAAAATTATTTTTAACCTCAAAATACCTCAAACCTTAGACTTACCTCTCAAAGACTTTGTCTCCCTCTCCTGCTGTATTTCCCATTCTCTTTTCTGTACCTTTCACTCAACTTCTGTTTTCTTTCTCTTTTTCACCTATTTCCTTCTCTCTTCCTTTGTCCCTTTCCCCACTTTCCTTCATTTCTTCCTTCTTCCTCCTTTTCCTCACTTGTCCATTTCTTCATTTCACTAAACTGACTATGAGATAAAACTGAAGTTTGTTTTCAGTATTTTAATACATTAGCAGGGTTAAAATGGAGTACCTTACACATAGCCAATGTGAGTGTTGAGTGCAGACCCTGGCTGAGAACCACATTAAACTTGCTATTTTACTCAATACTTTGTTCATTCTTATCCAGGCTTCTAGGAAAATGAAGGTATATGATCTGATATTTCCTCATTAATTATTAAAATTTCCTTGTCTCTGTCATTAATTAATCAATCAATCAGCTCTGAGCCCCTATCCAGTTTTTATTTGTTTAATAAACTTTGCAAACCTCTCTTCCCATAAGTTTTTGCTAACCTCTCTCTTTATAAACCCTCCTAATCTCCTAGTCTTAAATAAAGATCAACATTATGCTGGCTATGTAATTTCTTAAGGATGTAACAAGCAGTAAAACAAAGAATAATTATCCAGAATAGATCATCTATAAGATAGATAGTCACCTCTAAACATCACTGCAACAGCTAATTCTACCTCAGTTGTAGAAACACAGTCCCATTCAGTTAAGGGGATACCAATGAAAGTCTCTTCTCAAAAATTCTCTTGTTTCTTTGCAAGATAAATGTTAAAACAACTCTCTTTCTCTTAAAAAAAAAGTTCTCTTAGTTCTTAATCTCTGTCCTTACAGTCTCTCTTTGGCCATCACAGTTAAAACACACTCATCTCAGGATTCTGCTGTTGTTCAGACATGCCTGACTCTTTGTGATCCCATTTGGTATTTTCTTGGCAAAGAATCTGGAGTAGTTTGCCATTTCCTTTTCCAGCTTGCTTTATTACAGATGAGGAAACAGAAGTAAACAGAGTTAAGTGACTTGCTCAGGGTCACATGGCTAGTAAGTATCTAAGGACAGAATTGAATTCAGAAAGATGAGTCTACCTTGACTGCAGGCCTCAAACTCTATCCACTGGTTTTCACTTAGCTGGTCTCTCAAGAGTCTATCCCCTCTTAAAGATACAGCAACTGTATCCATCATTTCTGTGGAAGAATGGCTATTGAATCTTCTGTTACGCACAAATGTATCTTTCTTTTTTCTTTTCACTGATTTCCCCTCTGATGACAAACATGCTGAATCCTTTCCTAACCTAACAAAAACTCTTGCCTCCAGCCTGATTACCCCTTTACAATCAACATAAGACTTTCTGAAGAGCAATTTTTATTACGTACTTCTACTTACTCATCTACTTACTCTTCAGCCCTTTGCAATCTGGATTCTTCCCCCACTGCTATATAGAAACTGCCCATTAATCACTAGATCCAGTGATATTTTCTCTGTACCTTCCTTCCAACACTTGATGCAGTTCACCATTATTATTTTTATTCTTCTTTTGGCTTTCAGTACACAGCACTCTTCCTGTTTCTCCTTTTTTACTGTGTATGCCTTATTTTCCTCCTCATGTGATTCCTTTTCTTTTCCCTAACATGTAATGTAAATATTACCCAGTTCCGTTCTTGGCTGTCTTCATTTCTACAAAATCTTCCTTAGTAATATCAACTATTCCCATGGTTCCAGCTACCATCTCTTTGTTAATGAATTGCAGATCTTAATCAGGACCTCTCTCCCAGGTTTCAAACTCAAATTTTAGCAGTCTATTGGGTATTTCTATCTAGTGATTCCATTGATAAACTCAAATTCAATATATTCCAAACTGATCTTATCATCTTCCCCTGCCGTATTTCCAAATGACACCACCTTTCTTCTAGCTACCCAGGCCTCAGATCTTGGTGTTACCTTTAATTCCACCCTTTCCACTGAGATCTTACTAAGGAAGAAAACTGTAGAATCTCAAAAAGGGTGCTTCTGAAGGAGGTAAGAGATGGTAAAGGAATTTGGAGCCTGGATCACAGAAGTTGGGAAATGACATAGAGATATGTTATTCAACTAGACTGTAGAAAATCACAAAACTATGTTGACTAGGGCCACTAAAACTTTATGTAACATTCTTAACTGGGTCTTCCTTATAGCAAGGCTATCCTATATTTCCCTAGTCAAGTCACCGTCTCACTCACCACGATAGATTTTCCAACCTTTTTATATGTCCTCAAAATTCCTATGACTTCCCTTTCCCCAACCCTCTCTGGTGAGAATTTTGCCTAATATTTCACTGAAGAAGAAAAAAGAGAGAGACTATTTGCTAAGGGCTCCCTCTTCTCCCCTCCTCATTCTCCAGTAGATTTCACCCTCCATCATCCCACTCATCTTCAATCCCACTCCCTACTGGCTTCTTCTCTTCCACCTACAAATACAACCACCACCCTCCACCCTCAAAAAAATCTTCACTTGATCCATCTATAGCATTATTGTATTAGCTATAGTCCTACAACTTTCCTCCCTTTCATTGCCAAACTCCTCAAGAAAGGGATCAGCTGATGCTTCTTCTTCCTTTCATCTTCTCCTATTCTTAATTCTTCTCATTCTGGGTTCAGATTTCATCATTCAACCAAAACAGCTCTCTTCAAACTTATCCCTCCATTGCCAAATTTAATGGACTTTTCTGAGTCCTCATTCTTCTTGACCTCTTTGCTTCTTTTGACACTAGTAATCACTCTCTTCTTGATATTCTGTTCTACATTTTATTGACACTACTCTTTTCACCTTCTATGTGCAACAAAGGTGTCCACCAAGGCTCTATCCTGGGCCTTCTCTTCTCCCTCAATATTATCTCACTTGGTTATCTCATCTTCCCCTTCCCCCCAACCTCTCCCCTCTTCCTAATTTCCCTATTATTGTTGATGGTACTACCATCTGCCAATCGGCCAGGTTGAAACCTAACTTGGTTATCATCCTGTACTCTTTCTCACTCCAAAGCCATCCACTCAGTTGCCAAGTCAAGTTGATTCTATCTTTGCACCATCTCCCATCTATATCCCCCTTTTCTCCTCTGACACTGCCACCATCTCAATACAGCTCCTCATCACCTCATGCCTAGATGATTGTAGTG